GGAGGGAGGGGTCAGGCAAAGGAAAAATGCCATGAGTGGGAAGGAACCGGAAAGGAAGAGAAAATGAAAAGGAAGCGGTAAGAAACACTGAGGGAGAGTGTGAGTCAATGGGGGAGAGGTGGGAAGGAAGATGAATATATATGAATGAATGCATAGACAGAATGAGGACAAATGTATAATCTGAGAGGGAAGAAATGAAGGTGGGTGAGACTGCATTAATCGGGTTTTAATTTTGGCTCCAACTAGCATATTCATTCCATACTCAGAAGCAAAACCTTCCTACTCGATATTGCAACTGCTCTTAATACACAACCATCTCCTACACCAGACTGGAGAATTCCCTTCTCTGGAGCTGGTGTGTTTAGTCTCCCAACCTTATGTTCCACGTTCACTCCTTCCCACAATAGTGAGAGACGTCTCCGCAGCTCCAACAGTCACATTACTTAGTTGCTACGACATTATATAAAACCCATTTGAAGCAGACCTTGCGCTTGAATACTGATTGAATTCCCACATTCTTTTTTCTAGCCGTTTCTGTCCTCTACTCTCTATTTTATGCCACCAAAATAAGATTTATAGAGGATAGATAGATGTTGCCGAGAGTTTCGAAAGCAGTCGCATTTGGGGATGTTCCAGTTCTTCCAAGGCCTCTCATTTTGCAGTTGCCTTTCAGCAACAACCTCTGGCTTATGCATATCTGCTTATCTCCGCAAAACATTACAATTTGGGGAATAAAACAGACTGTTTAGTCCACAAATCCTGGCAGGCTCTGTGCAGCAGTACAGCAGAGAAGCCTCTTGCACAGCTCGGCTCTTCTGAGGCATGAGACAAGCTACCTAGACCTGCCTGTGGCAGCGTTTTGCAGAGTCACCCTTGAGACAGGCTTTCCCCAGCCAACAGCTACTCCCATCACCCGAGCCAGGCCTGAGCATTTGGTAAAGCTCAAATTACTCCCAGATGCGATTCCATCACTATCACACTCTACAACAAACGTAGTCCTGGGCATTTCATAGTCCTGGAGCACACAATCGTCTCCCGCTGTTGCTGTCACCTGAAAGAGCTGTGCTCGGTTTGTCTCCTTGAAAAGCAGCGGCGTTCTCCGAGGCACGAGTTGCACCCGGGCTGAAGGATGACAAAGTCTCAGTGTGTAATCACAAAGTTTGTTCTGTGACGGATTATCCCTGACAGCGTTTAGCACAAATGTCACATACCACGAATATGGGTCAGCGTTATGTAATGGGAAGCCTGCCAATGACAAGACAATATTTGAGCCACCGGGGCCCTGCGCTTCAAAGAGCAAGTGCTTGCAAAGAACAGCAGCCTTGCTAACCCTTGCTAACCTGTCGATAAACAGCGTAGTGCCACTTTCCGTAGTCCAGCACAAATATACCCGTTATTTACTGCAGCTCCATGCAGCAGAGCGAAGCAGCATTTTCCAGCACATTATCTGCCTCAGGAAACACGAGCTTTGACACACACCAAACTCAGATCACATGCAAGCCCTGGACAGTGAGAGGGGAAGGTACCGCGGTACCTCCCTGAAGGGGGCTGAAAAATACCCTTCCTCCCCACATCCAGCACTCCCCATGTCCAAGTCCTGTCCTGTTATCCCTTCCACCAGGAATTTTGGGAAAGCGCTGCCTAGCAGCGGAGCGCAGCTCAAACCAGGACGGCAACGGCATTGTTCCCATTTGAAAACGCTTTTGCTTCTCACACTAGTAGGTTTTTATTTACAAGCTGAAAAAGAAACCTCCTTTCTTAGACTTCAGCAAGACTCCGAGTGCCAGGTCTTCCCTTCCACTTGAGAATGAAAAGGACTTATGTTTTTGCTCAGTGGACTGTGGAAGCAGAAGATAGAAAAGCTACAGACATGGCTTTCAGGAGACAAAAAAATGGGGAAGAAAAGGCAGTCTTTCCTTTTCTATTAGTATGTCACCTTTTGTGGACGAAAGCAAAACATTAGACAGATATACCAAAGTGTCATAAATGGTGCTCAGCATTTTGGGTTAGCCCTGAAAGGAACATTAGCTACGGTTAGCAATTAGTTCCTGAAGTTTCATGGGAAAATAATGCTTTACAGTTCCAGTTAATTACTCTTTGTCCTTAGTGGACACTGCAGCATTTCAGCATGCGAAGGCACACACCTGCCAAGGGTTGTGTGCAAGATACTCTTGAGGTACTACAGAACTGAGGTAAAATCCACACACTAGTGACAGAACAGAAAAAGCCAGTTAGGAGCCTTTAGCGAAAGCCACGTAGGACACAGCTACCTTTTCCTCCCTGAGACAGGCACCGATGTGTGACAGCCCTGAGCACAGCATCGCGCCGGGGCCCTCTTGCCTGCCTCGTGCCCCAGACAGGCCGGGCAATGTCGCGGATCGCCCCTTTCCTCCGGGAAATCCCAAGCTGGAGCAGCAGCGAGTCCCTCCTGCCCCGGCACCTGCCTCCAGCGTGCGGGCACAGGGACTCTGCTCTTCCCCACCCTGATGCCAGTGGTGATGCTGGGAAGCCCTTGCTGTTCCTGGGAACTCCCCACGGACACGCATGCGACAGCTCATACCTCTCGAAACATCCTTCCCTTCCCTGCAGCTGTTGAAAGGAAACCTTCTGAGCATTCGGTTCATGCATTCAGGCTTTTCTTGTAAGGCCGTGAAATGCACTTTAAAAAGTAAAAGATACAATTCTGAGGTAATCTTCTGACTTCAGAGGGGCCTGGGAACCAATTCATGAATCTGTGGATTTAAATATAATGTAGCACAGAACAGCTTCTTTATGAGGAAAAGTTATTAGTCTACTCGGATGAGAAGACAGAGAGGCAGCTGAGAGGACAGGGCGCAGAGATTTGCTAAAGCACGAGCAGCACACGAGGGGTACCCACAGTGCGACCATTTGCCAGGTCTCCCAGCAGGACAGCAAGGTGTCACACTCAGTTCCTATCAGCCCCGTTGAAAGCAAACAGGAGGAGGGGGCACTTCACGCAATGGACTTGCAGAACCCATCGCCAGAGGATGCTCTGGATGCTGAAAGTTTCCCTTGGTGCAGAGGCAGGCTGCATCAGTTCAGAGAAAAGAAACTTTTTAGAGCCAACAAAAACAGCAAACCCACATGTGATTTACAGTCCCGAGCTGTAAACAGCTACAGTCTGGGAGAGAGCTACTGGGGAGTGTGGTAAGTGCTTGCCCTGCTCTTAATCTTTGCTCAACACCCACACCCAGCCCGTGCTGGGA